AACACTTAATTGTGCTCATGAGGAATCTGTACCTGGACCAAGAGGCAGTTGTTCAAACAGAACATGGGGACACTGAATGGTTTAAAATGAAGAAAGGTGTGCGACAAGATTGTTTTCTTTCACCATACTTATTCAACCTGTATGCTGAGCAAATAATCCGAGAAGCTGAGTTCTATATAGAAAAAAGTGGCATCAGGATTAGAGGAAGACTCATTAACAACCTGCAATATGCAAATGATACAAGCTTGCTTGCTGAAAGTGAAGAGGACTTAAAACATTTACTGATGAAGATCAAAGAGCACAGCTTTCAGTATGGGTTACATCTCAATGTAAAGAAAACAAAAATTCTCATCACTGGACCCATAAACTACATTCTTATCAATGGAGAAAAGATAAAAGTTGTCAAGGACTTCGTTCTTCTTGGATCAACTATCAACACTCACAGAAGCAGCAGTCAAGAGATCAAACGACGTATTGCATTAAGCAAATCTGCAGCACAAGACCTTTTTAAAGTGTTGAAGAGCAAAGATGTCAGCTTGAGAACTAAGGTGCACCTGATCCAAGCCATGGTATTTTCAATAACCTCTTATGGATGTGAAAGCTGGACAATGAATAAGGAAGATCGTAGAGGAATTGATGCCTTTGAGTTACGGTGTTGTAGGAGAATATTGAAAGTGCCATGGGCTGCCAAAAGAACCAATAGATCAGTTTTGGAAGAAGTGCAGCCAGAGTACTCCTTGGAGGCCAGGATGGCCAAACTTCATCTCTCATACTTTGGACATATTGTCAGGAGGGAGCAGTTGCTGGAGAAGGATATCATATTTGGTAAGGTGGAGGGTCAGAGAAAAAGAGGAAGACCCCCCAGCGAGATGGATTGACCACATGGCAGCATCGATGGACTCAAGCGTAGCAACAATAGTGAGGCTGGCCCAGGATTGGGTTGGTGCTGACTCAATGGCACCTAACAACAACAACAGCAACCCTATAATAGGTCACAATTAGAGATAGAGAAGATTCACTTCAGCCAACACAGCCAAGGAAGTAGTCCCTGTATTCAGTTTAGGAAGACTTCCTGGAGGAAGAGGATTTCTGATACCTCTTTTCTGATACAAGAGGATTTCTGTACTAAAACCGACATGGCCCAATGGTGGTGGTGGTGTTAAGTGCCGTTGAGTCATTTCCGACTCATAGCAACCTTGTGTAGGCTTTCTGAGGAGTGGTTGGTGAGTTTGAACCAGTGACCTTGAGGTTCAAACTGCTGACATTGTGGTCCAGTGCTTATCCTACAGTGCCACACCAGGACTCCTAAGGGTTGTTGTTGTCAGTTCTGACTCGTAATTACCCTCTACAGGGTTTCTGAGGAACCGCTAGTAGGTTTAAACTGCCAACCTTGAGGTTAGGAGTCCAGTACTTATCCTACAGCACCACACCTGAACTGGGGAATGAAACAAGACACCTATGATTAGTTCTTTACCAAAACTTGGGAAAGAACACTCAACAGCAGAAGTGGGGTGAGTGGATGAGAACTATTGATAACCTTGCCTACATATTTGGAGGCCAGACTATGGGATCCTGAAGGGAAGAGAGCTATGCTGTCGATCCTGTGAAATTCTGCACTCCACAACGGAGTCCTTTGACAAGACTAGTGGAGGAATGACCTCCTGACCTTACTCACCAAGCTTCTGGGAATCATTTCCTATGCAGAGAGCAGGAATCCTTAATCCCGAAGTTCCCTGGCTTCTGTCGGATTCTGTGTCTCTTCTAAGGGCTCTTTCTTGCTGCCCGCATGCTGAGCAAACAAACTATAGAGAGTACGTTCCTTACCACCCAGACTAATCATAGGTGTCTTGTTTCATTCAGGATGTGGTTAGTACCTTGAGGAACTGCTGGTTGCAGAGAGAGATTTAGATAGCCAGGTTGGATGGAGAGAGGAGATGCCCAGGAAGGGCTCAAGTTAACCCTGGGTCTCTCTCTAGGGGAAACAAAAGGAGCAAAAATGAACCCCACTGCGAGGGACCACAAGACAGTGTCAAGACAAAGGAGTTGGAGTGACCTGAGATTCTGAGTAACTCAGACAGGAAAGTCTTCTCGTAGGTGAGTTTGGAGTACTGGCAATAGCTGGGAACTAAACTACCACCATGCCTTTGTTTCTGTGTTCTGTCTCTTGCTGGATTGGGAAGGAAGGTAGACAGAAATTAGCAAGGAAGATGCAAGCCAAGGGATGGTTCAACACAGTCATGACAAGCATGCCTCCATTCTGCTGGCTCTTTGATTGAGCGTAGCTAGGACGCTTCCTGAACTAATGAGATGTCTAGGTCAAGTGGAACCCCTCATGCTGACTCCAGCACAGCTCAACCCCTGGGACAGGAAACTGCCTCTCCATTGAATTGTCATTTCCTCCTTGAAGCCTTCTTCAAGCCCGTGGGGAACTCTACCAACTTTCTCAACTTGGCACTTACTATCTATGCTATTAAGTTTTACTTGTATTCATTTTTGAATAGGTAATATTATCAGGGTTCAAAATGCAAAAAGATATTTAGTGAAAGCTCTTTTTCTTGCCCCTGTCCCTTCCCTGAACAAGTGCTCCCTTGAACTAGTGATATCTGATCTTGTTTCGCCTGGGGAAAGGAATCATGTCTCCTGCCTCCTTATCTCTCTGTGTTCCTGCTGGGGTGAATTTTTCTGCCCTTGGACCCAAGGGAGTTTTCCTAGCACCAACTTTCCCTTTCACCATCAGCACTGCTGCTATCTTGGATCTGATCTTCACACCCCTCTTACCTGGTCATACAACTACCAACCAGATACCCTTCACACCTCTCCAGGCCCATCTTCTAACACTCCCATCATCCTTCATGCTTCCCAAACTATTTACCATTGGCTATTTGGTCATGCTGACTTCTGCCTCTGGGCCTTTGCAAATACCATTCCCTCTGGAACGTGCTTTCCCTTCCTGCAACTCCTACTCACAGGTTAGGATTTAGCCCAACCTTCTCTTTCTGCAGGACTCTTTCACAGATGCCCACCCTCCCTCATTGGCTGAGTTTCCTGTACCCCCTCTTCCCCAGCCCCTCAGGTGCCTCTGCCATGCTGTCTTCTCATCGGGTGATCTTTCTGTTTAAAACCTGCCTTCCCCAATCAACTGGTGTGGCACTGTGGGTTAATGTGCTGAACTGTAAAGTTGGTTTGAATCACAAGGTCAGTGGTTCAAACTCACCAGCCGCTGCTTGGAAACCCTATACAAGGTCACTATGGGTCAGAAACAGCTCGATGGCACTTAACAACAACAATCAACTGTATGCTGTGTGAGGGCTGGGTTTGCTTGTCTCTGTATCCTTCCATCTTTCAGAATACCTGGTATATCATAGATATTGGATAGAAAAAGTGATAGAATGAATATCTCACTTCTCCTACCTCCTGGTAGTGGTGGTTGTGTGCCGTGGAGTCGGTTCCGACTCATAGCGACCCTGTACAGGGTTTCCGAGGCTGTAAATCTTTATGGGAGCAGAAAGCCTCATCTTTCTCCCACAGAACAGCTGGTAGTTTCAACTGCTGACCTTGCAGTTTGCAGCCCAATTCATAACCACTACGCTACCAGAGCTCCTTCTCCCACCTCCTAGACAATGCCTAATACAAAGTAGATACTCAAAGAGATATCAGTTGGTTTGATTTTTGATGCTGCTGCTGACTCTGATGTTACAAAACAAGCCACTTGTCTCCCCCAACCCAGAAGGAACCCTATTCCCCCTTGATATCATTGTTGTTGTTGTTAAGTACCATGGAGTCGGTCCCGACTCATAGTGACCCTGCACAGTGTTTCTGAGGCTGTAAATCTTTACAGAAGCAGAAAGCCTCATCTTTCTCCCGTGGAACTGCTAGTAGTTTCCAACTGCCGACCTTGAGGTTAGCAGCCCGATTAGTAACCACTACCCTACCAGAGCTCCTTCTTGATATCATAGCAGCTATATAATCCCTAGAGGCAGGTGACTCCAAACACCAGACTTCTCCACAGCAGGAGCTTGGGTGTTTAAACAACAGCATGAAACAGCTGAACCAGAGTTACTTTTGAACAAGACATACTGAGAAGTGATGAGTGTGGCTTTGGCTAAGACCCAGGTCATAAGGATAATTGCTGGGAAACTGAGCAGGGACTTATTATAATAGCAATAGTTGATACCATTCATTGAGGGCTTAGTATTTGCCAAGCACTCTGCCAACTACTGTGTTGTTGTTTTTTTCACGTATTAACGTGTCCATGTAAATAACGCACTTGCACTTAGATCACTTGCTGGAAACTAGCTCAAGAGGGGGTTACATGGTTTGCAGGACTCACATAAACACGCTTGCTTGTTTGTTTGTGTGTAAATATGGTACATTGCCTGGTTCAGTCATCACCACAATTCTGAGTTGGGTACTACTAGTTGACCACATTTAATAGGTGAGGAAATTGTGGCTTAGAGGGATAATTTGTCTAAGAGTCACACAACTGTTAATGATAAAAACTAACACTTGTTGAGAATTCACCATGTGCAGCTAGGTTTTTCTCATGAATGATTTCATTGAACTTCATCCTAAGATAGCCTTAAGAGGTAGGTGCTCTTACTAGAAGGGGCACAACTGGGATTTGTGCTCAAGTCTGTTACCACCATCATTGTGTTTAACCATTGAGTCTTACTCGGCAGAGTTTTCCACAGAAAGTTTTGCAAACATTCATCCTCTGAGCAAAGGACCATATGCCTGGGAGGTGGAGATGTCTATGTCCACCTGTTCTGCCTGGAAGCAGGTACTGTCATGAGATCTTAGAAGTTTTTAAACTTTTATTTTATTAAATATGACAAGATAGAGCAAGATTTATTTCATGTATATGAATATTCTGCCACAATTTTTTTAAAAAGGTACTGGTGTGGCGCTGTAGGATAAGCACTGGACCGCAAGGTTGGTTTGAACTGCAAAGTCAGCTGTTCAAACTCATCAGCTATTCCTCGGAAACCCTATACAGGGTCGCTATGAGTCGGAACAGACTCAATGGCACTTAGCTACAACACATGGGGTCGCTGTGAGTCAGAATCAAGTTGATAGCCTGTCCAGCAGCAACAGGATATATAGAATACCACCAGCAACTGCCACCCACTTTAAGAAAAGACACTTTATTCTGAAGCCCCCTTTGTGCCTACGTTTATTCCTTTTCCTCCCTCTTTAGAAATTTTGACTTTATTATTCCTTTAGTTTTGTTTGTAGTTTTATTACATATTTGTATTCCTAATCAACATATTATTTAATTTAACATGGGTTGAATTTTCTACAAATGGAAACATTCTGTGTTATCTTTCTGCAACTTGCTTTTTTTTTTTTTGCTTAACATTGCATACATATTGTTACATGTTGTTATGAAGTGCTGTGGAGTCTATTCCGATCCATAGCAACCCTGTTCAGGGTTTCTGAGAAGCAGCTGATGGGTTTGAACTGCCGACTTTGTGGTTCTCAGTCCAGTGCTGAACCTACACCATCACACCAGGAGTCCATTGTTATTTGTAGAAATGGTTTATTCTTGGTATTGCCCTGTACAGGGTCGCTATGGGTCGGAACCGACTCGACGGCACTTAACAACAACAACAATTGCTGTGGAGGGCATGCTCCATCATATGACTATGCCTATTCCTCACTTTTCTCTTCTTCCGACATTTCACATTTATGACAATAGTAAAAAAATCTATCCTATGGGGAGGCTTCAGAAAGTTCATTACAAAATTTCATTACCTTTTAATTCCATTCTCCACAAACTTTTTGAAGCTCATTGTATTATTTTGTGTGCTCACAATGTATGTCTGGCAGTAATGAACTCCAAGGTATGAGGTGAGAGTAACGTTGGCTGCAGTGGTTAAGGTTATGTGTCAGCTTGTCTGGGCCAAGATTCTCAGTGGTTTGAAAGTTACATAATGATGTAATTTGGTGGCTGTGTAAGGTTACATTTTGGCAATAATTACCATGTGTAGTCATATTCCATTTTATGATCCGATGTTATCCTTCATCTTCACATAATGATGATTTTTGCATAATGACCTGGTTTGTGGAACCTAACCATGTTGATAAGTGAAGAGTGAGCGTATTTCATATTTTACTCACCCTACTGCTGATGAAGGAGCCCTAGTGTCACAGTGACTTAAGTCCTTGACTGATGTCTGAAAGATCTAAAGTTCAAATCCACAAGTCACTCCATGTGAGACAGATGTGCCAGTCTCATTACTGCAAAAAGGTGGCACGGCTTATCACTGTAAAAGCCAATTAGTCAGAGACAAGAGTATGGTAAAGCAAGCAAAGTTTAATGCATACTGGTATCTTAGGCTGGGTTTTTTAGAGAAGCAAAACCAGTGAAGCATAAATATATGTATATATATATAGAGAGAGAAAGAAGTTTATGATCAAGAAAAGAGCTTACAATTGCAGAGTCCTAGGTCCCCAGAAGAAGGGAGAGAAAAAGTCCCTCTCATGTATCCATTATATTGGGAGCAGGCCCTGCTGCCAAGGAAGCATCCCTTCAATTGATTGGCTACTCATGGCCACTCATCAGAGAGCTAACTATGCCTGTATTGAGTTTTGTCACCATGTGAATAAGAACATCCCAACTGCTAAAACTCTGGAAATGCTGGCTTTGTTAAGTTGACATAAAACCCTAACCATTACACTGGTATTAAACATACTTGTATTAAACTACCTGCCTGAGGGAAAAAGGGGAGGACGATTTATAGGGAACTTGGGCATGAGGTAGGGGGTCCCAGAAATTTCAGGTGCTCTTCTTTTTTTGTTGTTTTACTTACCCCAGGTTGAGCTGACTGCTTCAAACATGTTGTTCCTAGCTGGTATTGTGTTTCTGCTCCAGTAGTTATGTTTTGCTGGTCTCCTTGGTGCACAGATTTCATAAGAACGTATGGTTTTTCTTCATTCCTACAATAGCTCTCAGGGTGGGGTTAACTACTGATTAACCTAAAGGCAATTACAGACTAAGATTAGCACTGAGGGTCTCTTTACTTGCAAGATGAAGTTGTTTTAGTCAGCTGAGACTTCAGTCTGCTTCCATAAAGCTTTGTTGTTGTTGTTGTTGTTAGGTGCCATCAAGTCAGTACCAATTCATAGCGACCCTATGCACAGCAGAACAAAACACTGCCTGATCCTGGGCCAACCTCACTATTGCTGCCACACCTAAGCCCACTGATTCTGCACTTTGCCAATCCATCTTGCTGGGGGTCTTCCTCTTTTTCTCTGACCCTCCACCCTACCAAACATGATATCCTTCTCCAGTGACTGATCCCTCCTGACAATATATCCGAAGTATGAGAGATGAAGTTTGGCCATCCTGGCCTCCAAGGAGCACTCTGGCAGCACTTCTTCCAACACAGATCTGTTGGTTCTTTTGGCAGCCCATGGCACATTCAATATTCTCCTCCAACACTCAAATGCACCAATTCTTCTATGGTCTTCCTTATTCACTGTCCAGTTTTCGCATGCATATGAGGTTATTGAAAATACTATGGCCTGGGTCAGGAGCACCTTAGTCTTCAAGCTGACATCTTTGCTCTTCAACACTTTAGAAAGGTCTGGTGTAGCAGCAGATTTGCTTAATGCAATACGTTGTTTGATTTCTTGACTGCTGCTTCCATGAGTGTTGATAGTTGATCCAAGAAGAAAGAAGTCCTTGACAAGTTCAATCTTTTCTCTCCATTGATAAGAATGTTGTTTATTGATCCAGTGGTGAGGATTTTTGTTTTCTTTATACTGTGATGCAATCCATACCGAAGGCTGTGCTCTTTGATCTTCATCAGTAAATGTTTCAAATCTTATTCACTTTCAGCAAGCAAGATTGTATCATCTGTATTTCGCAGGTTCTTAATGAGTCCTTGCTCCAATCCTGACGCCACGTTTTTCTTCGTAGAACCCAGCTTCTCGAATTATTTGCTCAGCATACAGGTTGAATAAATTGGTGAAAGAATACAACCCTGTCACACACCTTTCTTAATTTTAAACCATTCAGTGTTCCCATGTTCTGTTCGAAGAACTGCCTCTTGGTCCAGATATAGATTCCTCATGAGCACAATTAAGTGTTCCGTAATACTCATACCTTGCAATGTTGTCCATAACTTGACATGATCCACACAATCGAAAGCCTTTGCATAGTCAATAAAGCACATGTAAACATCTTTCTGATATTCTCCACTCTCAGCCACGATCCATCGGTCTTCAGCAAGCTTTTTGGAGGAGGGGGGAAATGAGCCCACATAGAGCTTACAGCCTAGGAAACCTTATGGGAAGTCCTGCTCTGTCTTATAGGGTCCCTATGAGTTAATGCAGTGCAGTGAATTACTTAGTATGGCTCTTATATTAAGATCACAAAATGATTGTTATTGTTAAGTGCCGTCGAGTCTGGTCCAACTCATAGCGATCCTGTATAAGGTTTCTGAGAAGTGGCTGGTGAATTTGAATCACCGACCTTGCAGTTCAAATCAACCTTTTGGTCCAGTGTTTATCCTATAGTGCCACACCTGGACTTTATGACTAGGTGAAATAACACAAATAAGGTTCCTGTGGCCCACCTAGGGGTTTAGGCATAACTGCCAAATCATTGAAAATCATGGCCCTGTGCTGGTTAAAGTTGCGTGTCAATTTGGCTAGGCGATGCATTTCAGAGGTTTGGCAGTTATGTAATTTGGCAGTTATGTAATGATGTAATCATTCTCTATTTTGTAGTCTAATATAATTGTCCTCCATTTTGTCATCTGATGTAATTATTCTCCATTTTGTGTGTACCTGTGGCTATGGCCCTATTTGGTAGTGAGTTATCTGTTATATTAATGAAGCAGGATTGAGGTGGGTTGTATCTTTTTTTTAACTTTTCATTGTGAGTGAAGCTTTATTGTGAATTGAGTGAAGATTCCAAGATCATCATTACTTTTACATTCAACAAATCATACACTTTGTTTCATCTCAATGATTGCAATCCCATTCTTGCAACAACAGTGATCCCACTTCCTCCCTGTGGTTCCTATTTCCATTCCACTCTCCTTCCAACCCCTTCTCACCTTTCCTTAGGTAGATGTTTCCCTTTTGATCTTGAATGATTGACCATTCCATGGTGACCATATCCTACTAGTGTTGTCCCTCCTATATACCTACCTACTGATTGGCTGAAAATTGGGCCACCAGGTGAGTTCCTTTCCAGACCTGAAGGGTGGTCAAGGGTCATAGTTTTGGTTCCTCCAGATTCTTTCTGACCAGTAAGCCCAGTCTTTATTTTATTTATTTATTTATTTATTTTTTTTTGAGTTTTGTTCTACATGTTCTATGACACTATCTAAGACTTTTTAATATGATCCCTTTCAGAGCAGTTGGTAGTGGTAGTGGGCACCATCTTGTTCTTCTGGTCTTAGAGTCATGGTAACTGATGTTCACATGTTCCATTGGTCCATTGGGCTAGTTGATTCTAAGCATCTTCAATCATCATCACTCTTCTTTCTTCTGCGTATGAAGAGACTAATAGTTGCATATTAGATGGACGTTCATGAGCTTTTAACATACCAGACATTACTTACCAAAGTAGAATGTAGACCATTGTCTTTGTGGACTGTGTTATGGCAGTTGACCATGGTGTCCCTGAGACTGTGGTCCTGAGTCCCCAAACCTAGGAACTCGATGCCTTAAGATGTTTAATAATATCTAAGAAGTGTTCATCAGTTTTCCCACTGTATGTCCCACCACTAACACTGTAGGATAAGCACTGGACCACAAAGTCGGTGTGAACCACGAGGTTGGTGGTTCAAACTCACCAGTTGCTCCTTGAAAACCCTATATAGGGTCATCACTGAATACATGACACTTAACAATAATAACAAGAACATGCCCCACCACATTCATAGGTGTATTTGCAGCAAAGGTAAATAGGTGGGCTGTGTCAGGAGTCACCACCTTACCAGAGAGTGTGACTCAAGTCACTATCCTTACCCCAGTCACTACCTTGCACAAAGAGTTTCCTTGAAGATATGGTCTGCATTCAATAATATAAATTCTCTGGTAAAGTTCTCTCTCTTGCTATGAATCCTGCATCTGGTTCATCATTATGACCCCAATTCTTGGAACTTGAGGCAGTAACCTGTCATCTAACTGGACTTGCCAACTTCTGCTCCCTTGTGAACCAACTGCCTGATGCCTAACCTACAGATTTGGGACTTGCCAGCTTCCGTAACTGTGCAAGCCATTTCCTTGATGGTTTCTGATTTCTATGAGATGCTGCAGTGAATTTCAGAGCTCAAGGATGAGAGGGAGAGTACTGAGAGAAGGAGGGGTAGTTGATGTTAGAGCAATGGAGTGATGCTGCAATATGGAAAAGTTAGATATTTGGGCTAGCTTTAACTTCCACTCCAGTGGAGCTAGCTTTGTGCTGATCCTCCTAAAATAATTATTCTTGTTGTTGGAATTGATTTGATGGCAATGGGTTTGGTTTGGAGTTTTTTGACTGCTAATGGACATTGTCAATAACCTCATATGGATGTGAAAGCTGGACAGTGAATAAGGAAGATCATAGAAGATTTGATGCCTTTGAATTGTGATGTTGGAGGAGAATACTAAAAGTGCCATGGGTTGCCAAAAGAACCAATAGATCTGCTTTGGAAGAAGTGCAGCCAGAGTGATCCTTAGAGGCCAAGAAGGCTAAACTTCGTCTCTCATACTTAGGACATATTGTCAGGAGGGAACAGTCGCTGGAGAAGGATATCATGCTGGGTAAGATGGAGGGTCGGAGAAAAAGAGGAACACCCCCAATGAGATGGATTGGCAGCATTGATGGACTCAAGTGTGGCAGCCATAGTGAGGTTGGCCCAGGATCGGACATTGTTTCATTCTGCTGTGCATGGGGTCACTATGAGTCGGTTCTGACTCGATGGCACCTGATAACAACAACAATGGACATTTAGATTATTCCTAGTTTTTGGCCTTTTAGTCAGTGCTATCTGACCATGCCCCCTGGTTCGCATTTGCAAGAATTAGTCTGATCAGGACTGACTGTGAGTGTTGGAAATGTAAAGGTAGACATTTTGTAACAAAAGGAGGGGTGTGGTTGACTTTGCAGTCTAGAAGTGGAGGTCCCTGGGACCATCAAGGGAGAAGAGAAGAGTGTGGGACCCCACCCAGAGAAGCAGTGATGCCAGAGATGGAGGCAGAGACGTGGGGAGATGGAGCAGTTGGGGCCTCTAGACCCAGAGAGGGAGAGGGGCTGTGTGATGACGACTGGGGGCAGGCTTGCAGGGTGTACCGTTTGGTTGGTTGATGATGCATAGAGGGGATTGTAACCATGGCAATGAAAGGATATACGCTAGGATGAATGTAAAGCTAATGTTCTCCCATGTAAACTATCACATAATTCACAATTTAAAAAAAAAAGAGTCTGGAATTTAAAACTGGGAGTGGAATTGCTGAGTCATAGGGTGTATACATTTTAAATCTTACTTGATAATATCAAATTGTTTCCCAAAGTGGTAATGCTGATTTCAACGTATTCATGTAGTTTTTCAGTATTCTGGTTTCTCGAGATCCATGAATCTCAGAATCTTTAGTATAGGAAAGAAACACTGAGTCAAGTCACCTTGGTTTATGAAGGGGATTTTGACAAATGCAAGTTAAGTAGCTGTGCTAAGGAGATGCTACCATTCGGCAACAGAGCCTGGGGTCAAACTTTAAATCCTTTGCTCCTCCCCACCCCTTTTTTTCAACTTTCTATTGTGAATTGAATGAAGGTATACAGAGCAGATCTTCAGTTTTACATTCAACAAATCATATACTTTACTTCATTGTAGTTGTTGCTGTTAAGTGCCGTGGAGTCAATTCCAAACCAGAGCGACCCTGTATAGGGTTTCCAAGGAGCAGCTGGTGAACTTGAACCACCGACCTTGCAGTTCAAATGACTTTCTTTGCAGTGTAACACATTAGCCCACAGCACCACACCAGGACTCTGCAATCCCCTCCATGTACCAACAGTTAACAGCATTTACCTCTATTCACTTTTAACTATTGCATTCCTCCCTGTGTCTCCTGCTACCTTCCTCTTTCCTCTGCTAACCTCTCTCTTGTTGTATATTGCCTGCCCTCTCATCCATATTAACATGTGTCTACACCCTAGCTTGTGAATAATTTTCCCTCCCCTTCCCTCCATAACCATCAATAACCATCATATAGTGTTACTTTTATCCAGAAAATCATATTTTTTTTAATGTTTTACAACATTGATCTCATACAATATTTGTCCTTCTGTGGTTGACCCTTGATTCATTTTTCTCTCTCTTCTCAGACTAAGGTCCCCAGGTGTGACCGGGACATACAAAGCTATTTCCAGAGTGGGCTCAGACTTGGAGCTGACTCAGCTGAGCCCTCATAGACTCTGGAAGATGAGAGTCTTCCGCAGACGCCACATGCCCCTGCGGCTGGTCATGGTGGGCAGCGCCTTTGTGCTCTTCCTTTTCGTTCTGCAAAGGGATGTAAGCAACAAGGAACAGACCACAGAGAAACCATGGCTGAAGTCCCTGGTGGGCCAGAAGGATCATGTCCTGGACATCATGCTGGGGGCCATGAATAACCTTAAGGATTCCATGCCCAAACTCCAGATCAAGGCTCCAGAACCCCAGGAGACTATGGTGTTCACAAACCAGTCCTGCCTGCCTGGATTCTATACCCCCGCAGAGCTGAAGCCCTTCTGGGAACGCCCACCACAGGATCCCAATGGTCCTGGGGCAGATGGAAAAGCATTTCAGAAGAGCACATGGACCCCCGAAGAGACCCAGGAAAAAGAGGAGGGCTATAAGAAGCACTGTTTCAATGCCTTTGCCAGTGACCGGATTTCCTTGCAGAGAGTGCTGGGGCCAGATACCCGACCCCCTGAGTAAGTTACACCACAATCCTATGGTGGCCAGAAGTGCGACTAGTATGACTATTAACTATCCCCTCTCCCCAAATAAATAAATAACAGTTCCCACTGAGTCATTTCAACTTACGGAAGCCCCATGTGTATCAGAGTAGAATGGTGCTTCACAGGATTTTTAGTGGCTTCTGGTTATTAGCTGAGTGTTTAACCATTTGCCCTATACCTTTGGTCTGATCACAGTCATGAAACAACTGCCAAGTAAAGACTTGGAGGGCATTCTAGAATATAGGCTAGGATTTCCCTCTAAGCCCTAACTTGTTCCCCTGACCTATTGCCCTGATCCCTTAGGTTGGAGCTCAGGAGTGTTGCAGTGCTTCTAGAGGCTCAGGGAGACAGAATCCAGAGGAAGGAGCTCAGAGCCTGGGACCAGGACCTGGTACAGAGGCACCTGGAAAGGAGTAATTCCAGGCTATGGTTTTAGTAGTCTTGCCCTTGTAGAGGTCTTTCCCAGAGACTGTGGGACTTTGGTGCTGAGCTGTTGGGGTGAAGGGCATTTCCTGACAGCTACTGGGTGGTCAGAAACATGGCCGCACTTTCTGGCTTCCTTCAGTGAAGGTCCATGGGCAATGACTTCATTCCAACTTTTACTTGAACATGCTTATCTTTTCCACATTGAGCAACAAAACCAGTGCTTAGATCTGTGCGCTACAGCCAACTCACTCTACTACATGGCTCTGGTCTTAAGCTCCTTAAGTTAAAGACTTTATGTCTTCATCATTTATCCTTTATCATCTTGAATCAAAGAGTTATACCCCTTTTGACTTTTTCTCACATGGCAACCCCCATCCCCAAATTCAGTATTCTTTTGGGCAATGAACCTGGGACACTTGACTTGAACCAAGCATTAAAGCCGTAGAAGAAGCAGCCATTGAAGTTAGTTGTCAGGAACTCTTCAACAGAGAAAGGCGTTGGCTGTGAGGCCAGCCAGTGGAGGATTCTCTGACCAGCAGCGGTGGTTAAAAAAGGGTGTTCAGTCACCTGATTCCATAAAATCCAGGCACCACACACTCCCATCCCCCACCCCAAAATGCAATGTCAAGATGGGGACAGTGTGACCAAGTGCCACTGAGTGGTTGGAATGGATAAGAATAGAGAAAGGTCACAGGAAATTGACTGTGATGATAGTGTCAGACTATAGGAAAATGGATTAGAGAAGAACCTAACATTGTAAAGAGAGGAGCTTTTTTCTCTCACTAGGTATGGAAACTGTAGTCACTTTTCTGAGATGTCAATTTTGCCATTATCACTTATCCCTCTGGGACCTCTGGATTAGATTACATTTTATATAGCACACATATTACTGAAGAAGAGTAAGTCAGCCCTGGAAGCTCCCGAGCTGATAGCAGAGCGCATACAGAGACGTAAGCTCTCAGCATCATGGCTGGGGGGCCAAGTGTGCTCTGGGGACCAGTGTAGAGGCTGAGTGAGTGACAAATATAGAGTGAGCCAGGGACATTACTTACTTGCTGTCAAGTCACTTTCAACTCGGGGTGACCCCACATGTGTCAGAGTAGGATTATGCGCTATAGCATTTTCAATGGCTTGTTTTTTAGAAGTACCATATTTTTATGCAAATAGAATATGCATTATATGGATTTTTGCAAACCCTATACCCCCCTCATTTGCATGTTATGCACGTTATTTACATGGTGCATTATATACAAAAACATGGAAGGTCTTCACGCTATTCTTCTGAGGTGCCTCTGGTGGACTTGAACTTCCAGCCATTTGGGTTAACAGCTGTGTGCATTAAGCATTTACTCAGGGACTCTGAGCCTGTGGCAGGGAGCAGATATTCTGAACTACAGTAGGGAATGTGGCTGGTGGTTCTAATGAGCCTTTGGACAGAGCTATCTTCTGAGGAACCCCCAGGGACCTGGTGAGCTGAGTCCATACTGTCATCCCTCTAGGTGTGTGGACCAGAAGTTCCGGCGCTGTCCTCAGCTGCCCACCACCAGCGTCATCATTGTGTTCCACAACGAGGCCTGGTCCACACTGTTGAGAACCGTGTACAGCGTCCTCCACACCGCCCCTGCCATGCTCCTGAAGGAGATCATACTGGTGGATGATGCCAGCACTGAAGGTGAGACCAGAGGGCCCTGAGGAGTCTCCCATGGGCACCCTGGGAAGGAAGACAGGCTGAGCTTCTTGAGGAAGTAGGCACCACCCTGTGGCCTGTTGCCTGGCGTTCCAGCTCATCATAAAGGCCAGGGACAGGAAGGAGGTGGGGGAGGTGGACCTTTCCTTTGTCTGCATTTTACCTGCTCTTCTGTTTTTGAAGGTCCCACCTCTAAAGCCCTGTTTGCTGTAGTTGTTGATAAACAAGTGAGATTACTCACCAAACTTCCCACTTTTCAAAGCATTTTCATAAAATCTACTGGGCACAGGTCCCCTGTGTCTGGCACTGACCTAGGACTGGGGAACACCATGACAAAGGCTACCAACCTTCAGAGGACAGGCAGCTTCATGCAACACCAGCTGTTAACAGACAGAAAAGGTCATGGACGTGGGTGTCTGATACCCAGGGATTCAAATCCTAGCTCTCAGTCTTCCTGCATCTGTGACGCTTGGCTTCTCTGAACCTCAGTTTCTTCTTCTAAAAATAAGGACAATTGCCTCCCTCACATTGGGGCTGAGGAATCCAAGATCCATGATGAATGAGATAATTCATGTGCCACAGAGTACTTGGCATTGAGAAAGAGCTCCACAAGCATTCATTTCATTTATTGTATGAGAACAATGCACTATGGGAGGGCAGAGCCCGGGGGTATTATTTCTGCCTGGAATGACTGGGAGCCTCACAGTAGACGCCAGCTTGGAGCTGGGCCTTAAAGGATAAGTGTGATTGTCTAGGGAAAGATAAGGGGATGAAGAGAAAACCACATAAGCAGAATCCTAGAGACATGTGTGTGGAACTTTGGGAGACTTGGGGTGCCTAGTGCTTAGGTTTATTGTAAAAAAGGAGACTAAAATGGTATTGAATTGGTTTTCATGCCATGATGAAAGGATTTAGAAAGAATTGAGGAATCACTGGTACTGTTTAAGCTGAAGAATGATGAGTTTCAGAACAATGACAGTTTGGGGAGCAGAGAGTAACATAGTAATTGGAGAGAGAGAGGTGGAGGACCTAGAATTCCATAAGCAAGTTCTTAAAATCACTTGAGAGTGGAGTAATGGGAACATATCTAGGAAAGTGGTTTGGGGACTGGTGCATCATTAGACTGGGATTCTCCAAAAGCTGAGCCCCCTTCTCAGATGATATGTGGTATCCGGGCTTTCCATTTTATGTCCTTGGCTCACCTCTTAGAGGCCTGCTGCCATTTCCTTACCATCCCTCAGTTTTCCTCCTGCCCTGCAGGTTTGCAGGAATGCTAAAAATAAAATTAGGGCAGGAGAAGGCCCTAAAAGGAGGACTGAATGTGAGTACTATGGATTGGTTTCTTCAGGAAGCTCACATATTCCTAGGAAGGACAGACACTTAGCAGTACTAACAGGTAACAAAGTCAAAGCAAGCAAATATCAAAGATGCGCTGAGAAAGGTCTGGTGGACAAGGACCATATAGATTAGACTTCTGGGAAGGGAGAACGACAAAGTTTGACAAAATAGGCTACGCACTGTCATTGAGTTGATTCTCAACTGTAGCTACATTCTCAACTATAACCCATAGAACAGAGTAGGGTGTCCAGGGCTGTAAATCTTTAGGGAAGCAGATTGCCTCATCTTTTTCCCACAGAGCAATTGGTGGACTCAAACCAAAGACCTTTCAAGTAGCCAAGCACTTAAGCACTGTGCCACCTGGGCTCCTTGGGACAACGCTAGTAGGGACTTGCAAGTGGTCTCTGGGAAACCTCAGTAGCAATGGAGTGTGTTCTTAACCATTCCTCCTCTCAAACTGGACTCACTCTTGACCCTTTTCCCTCCAAGCCTGTGCCACCATCCCCAGAAGTCCCACCTCCCTGAATCACATGTGGTGGGAGCTCTAAACTCTTCTCGCTTTCTCACTTGTCACTCAGAATTTTATGTGTGCCAAGTTGGGCAACTCCTCTACCAGGCTAGATGGGTGACATGGTGCCAGGCTGGCACAGACGTCATCTAAGGGTGTTGTCTCCTGTGTCTGGTGGAGCGGAACTTATGTGTGCCAAGTTGGCACCTCTGAAGTACCTGCTCCCAGGGGGCCACCAGACGTATGCTCACATTCTTTCTAGTCAACTGTCCCTTGTTGTCTTGGAACTTCTCATAAGCCCAATTCAAGCATCTCTGAATCATCTGCCTGAAAAAGCTAAGCCAGCCATTCTTATTTTTCTGGGTTCTGGTCTCCTTTGAGAATCTGTTAAGAACTACACCCCTTTTCCTACAATAGTGCACAATTGTCCACAGCAGTATGTGCGCACACATTTTTGCATGTGATTTCAGGGAGAGCTCATGGGCTCTGGAATAAAGAGCCCTACCTGGAGGGCTTTCAGACTCCAGAGATACCTTCAGCAATGTCAAGTTCAGTGGAAAAAGCAGGGGAGGGGACCTCAGCCCCATAGTCAGAAATCTCTGCAGTCTACAGTGGGATACAATTTCCAACACATTTGACCGTTTGATCAGATTAACTGTCTCCCATTACACATACACAAAACAAGGGCTGTGTCTCTGCTGAAACACAATGTGCGTGCTCTCTGCCCTCCTCCCCAGGCACCCAGAAGCAGCTCTCTGACCATGAATACATAGGCATTTGATACCAGGGGAGAGGAGGCCCAGCGTCAGGCTCAGAGTTAGAACCAGGCCAAACACTCAACAGCCAGGGTTCAGGCCTGGTCTTGACATACTCCATGAGCTTCTAAAAACTACCCCCAATCCTGCTCCCACCAATCTGTACTCCAAACAGGGCCGCATCCCCATGTCCTAAGCTCTGCCCTGCCCTGGGGGAAGCCGAGGAGAAGAGACACTAGGTCTCCTTTGTGTGGGCATTTACTGGCCAGGGAAGCGAGATCAGACACATACCCAGAGACAGTCCAGAAACAAACATGGCCCTTCGTGATCAAGTCCCTAACGAGAAAGGACGAGTGAAGAGGTGGTGTTGGTGGGGGAGAGGGTGTTGTGGGAAGGGCAGGTAAAGAGATCAGCAGTGGAAGGCAAAGAGATAAGAGATAGACCTGAGGTGCAGAATGCACTACGTGAATCCCAGGGGAGAAGATGGGGAGCATGTTGGATTAACCCCAAATTGTTCACTGCCGTGTCTCTTGCTGATCAGAATAGAGCTACGTTACAGTTCCTCTTGCACTCCTAAGAGATTTTCAGGAATGCAAGAAAGGAATTGTTCAAAGACTCTGATTTTAGATGATTGACAACTTCCAGGTCTGTCCCAACAGGTGATATTGTTTTCTCTCCTCTCTATCTCTTACCTCTGAGTTTCTTGCATAATGTAAGAAAATATCTCTCTATTCAACCTTATTATGTCCTGGATTTTCTGGGAATTTTTCCATTTCAGCATTTTCTTCCATTTCTCCTATTAAAGAAATTCTGCTGTTCCCACATGTAAATACCATCTACATGTCTACTCTTTACCCCTGAAAGTAGGAGGTGTCAGACAATAAACCTTGATTTGGGTTAGAGACCATCACCCAGTATCCAAATGCACTACCTGAACTGGTGGGTTGTAGAATATTCCCGAAGGGTATGGTATCATGCTTGTACATTTGCTAAGGGATTCATCAAGAAAAATTTCCCAGTTGCAATTAGATTTGAGGCTGGCTACAATATGGATTGAGTCCTGGTGTGGCGCTGTGGGTTAATGCGCCAGACTGCAAAGCCGTTTGAACTGCAAGGTCAGTGGTTCAAGCTCACCAACTGCTCCTCAGAAACCCTATACAGGGTCGCTATGGGTCAGAACCAACTCGATGGCACTTCACAACAACAACAATATGGATAGGAGTACAGGTGTGGTGCTGTGGGTTAATTCTCTAAACTGAAAAGTCATTTGAACCGCAAGATTGACAGTTTAAGCTCACCAGCTACTCCTTGTAAACCCTATGCAGGGTCACTGTGGGTTGGAACTGACCCGACAACACTTAACAACAACAATATGGATAAGCAGGAATATAGAATAAAAAGCAAATGAGACAGGAAAGATTAGAAGGACAGCCCTCCCCACAAGAAACAGTATTCTCTTTTCTAGATTTTTCAGAAACCAAGGGAGAGGGAACAGTCCAAGAAAGAAAAGTGTGGATAAAGACAGGAATTCATTGATATGCATAATGTTTATTTACTGGTCACCTACTGAGTGCATGACCTGTGCCAGGCCCAGGCCCCAGGGGGATACAACAGCAAACAGGTTTAGCAACAGCTCTATCTTCTTGGAAGACAGAAAAATAAATCATTTCAGATAGTAACAAGTGCTATTTAAGGAGAAAAAAGAGAGCGAATGCAAGGTGAGGGGACAGTGAGCAATTAGGGAACTCTTTCAGTTAGAAGTTCCTTGTTGGTGCAAATGGTTGACATGCTCAGCTGTTAACCGAAAAGTTAGAGGTTGAAGCCCACCCAGAGATGCCTTGAAAGAAAGGCCTGGTAATCTGCTTCTAAAAAAAACAGTCGTTGTAAATACTCTGGAACACAGTTCCACTTTGACATACATCAGGTAGCCAGGAGTTGGAAACTACTCAATGGCAGCTGTTTTGGGGTTCAGGTGGCCAAGGAAGGCTGCTTTGAATGTTCAAACCACAACTGATGCCAACTCACAGTGACCCTGTAGGGTAGAACTCCCTAGGGTTTCCGAGACAGCAAACTTTTATGGGAGCAATCTCCTCTGTCTCCCTAGGAGCAGCTGGTGAGCTCGAACTGCTGACCTTGCAATCAGCAGCCTAACACTTAACTACAAGGACTCTTTGTTCCAATGCAAAGGCTTAGATGCTTGGTGTTTTGATGAGGCAGAAAGCAGGCCACTGGCTGCTGGAGGTAAAAGAGCAAGGAAGCAGAAAGGTCATTGGTGCGAGGTGAGTTTAGAGAGGCGATTAGAACAATCCTGGAGATCTTTGTAAGTAATGGTCAGTGCTTGGATTTGTTTTGTTGTTGATGTTTTGTTAATGTGGTAAAATAGA